GTGTGGGGGCAGTCCGTTTTGAGTCTCCGCCCTTCCTACCAGTCTCAACATGTCTTCTTCTTTATATTCTTAGTTATAAAACTTCTGTTTAGCTAGGCTCCAGATAGTTCTCTGGGTTGATTTTTCTATAATTTAGTTGTAATCTTAATGTAGTCATGGGAGGAGGCAACCACAATGTTTATCTATTCTGCCACCTTGGATCCTCTCTGTGATATTTTATATTCTCCTTGGAAGCCATAATTCCCTAGTTAAAGTGTTAAATAAAATATTTGGCATGTGTTCATTTTATATTTGTATGTAAAAAGTACTGTACTTTGGATTAAAATAATTTTGATTTACTATGCTATCTGAGAAGTTACAGAACCCCAGTTAGCCTCAATAAACAGGGAATACAAAGTCTTTTTATGTTTTCAAGGCAGATCTGTATACAGCATATCCACAAAACTCAGGGATATCTGTGAGGATTAAATATAGAAATACCTTGGAGATATTGCAGATTTGGTTCCAGACTACTGCAATAAAGTAAATTATCATAATAAAGTGATTCACACAATTTTTCCCCAGTGCATATAACACTATACTGTAGTCTATTAAGTGTAAGATAACATTATGTCTCAAAAAACAATGTAGAGGGGCAGCCAGGTTGCTCAGTTGGCTAGAGCACATGCTCTGAGCAACAGGGTTGCTGGTTCGATTCCCACATGGGCTAGTGAGCTGTGCCCTCCATAACTAGATTGAAGACAATGACTTCAGCTAAGCTGTTGGTGGGTGGCCAGATGGCTCAGTTGGTTGCCGGTTCGACTCCCACGTGGGGTGGTGGGCTGTGCCCCCCACAACTAGATTGAAAACGGCAACTAGACTTGGAACTGAGCTGTGCCTTCCACAACTAAGGTTGAAGGACGACAACTTGACTTGGAGCCAATGAGTCCTGGAAAAAACACATTGTTCCCCAATCAAGTTTTTTTTTAAATGTACACACCTTAATTTAAAAATACCTTATTGCTAAAAAATGCTAACAATTATCTGAGCCTATTGGAAAAGTGGCATTGATAGACTTGCTCAACACAGGGTTGCTACAAACCTTCGATTAGTATAAAATACAGTATCTGTGAAGCACAATAAAATGAGGTATGCCTGTATAGACATGGAAGTAAAAGTGCTTCTTTCCTGGCTCCTATAGCCTCAGTCTCCTGCAAATAAATGAAAGATACTACTACCCATCTGAGGGGTTTATCATGAGGACTAGTTTTTTAAAATAGCTAAAATGTATTCAGCACTGTGTGGCAAGCTCTGTGTTAAGAGCCTTCTAATTTTCTCTCAAGTGAACCTCTCACAACAGTCTTACCATGGTAGCTTCTCATAAGAACTTTAAAGTGGTAACCCTATTTTATAGATGAGGAAACTACCGAAATTAGTACTACAAACATGGAAAGTAGCTTCAATACCTCAATTTAAATCTTGAAGATGGGATGTGTATTTTGTGTCACTGAAAAGTTAAGAGGTACAATATCTGAAAGCTTCATTTAAAAATCATTCCTACCCACTGAGTCAATAACTCATTAACTTTGTTTCAACATAAGTTAGGATTTTTGTTTTCTCCCACTCTTCCTGAATTCAGCTTTCCTTGAGATCATCAATGATGATTTTAACAGCAGGCATTTTTCTTCATATTCCCTCTACTTTTGAACTTCAGCTCCTTGCTACTAGCATTATATCTCCTTTAATTTTTAATACTGCTACTACACCTTCTGGGTTTAAGACTTGGGTAGTGCCTCCACAGTTGAGTCCTCAGCTTTCTCTGAAGCAGAAGCAAACAGCTCAGAGGCTGTCCCAATACTTGAGGAACTCGCTTCAGTCATTCAACCCTCCCTCTGAGGGTGCCTGCACTCCTAGTAGCGCATAGCACAGCTGACATCTGGTGGACATAAATGATAATTGCATCTCTCCACCTTGGGATCCACGATACCTGAACTCAGGTATATGCCCCTAAACACAATAGGATAAAATCCCTTCCTCAGCTCTTAGGCACTTAATCTCTAAAGCAAAAGCCAAATCTGTGTAATAGTAAAAAATTTCCTCTAATGTTTTAGTCTTCTAAATTTCACAGTGTTATAAGATTTGTAATGCAAGCATTGTGAAAGTAAAAACAGCCTTTGAATATTTAAAAGAAATAAAATACCTCATTTTCACATTTTTAAAGGTGATTGAGGCTTTCAAGATGGCAGAGTATATAAATGTTGTGCTCAACTCCTCCCAGGACTACATCGATTGCAACTAAACTGCAGAACAACCATCACTGAGGACCACCTGAAGTCTAGCTGAACCAAAGCCCTCCAACTACGGACTTACAGTAGCCACTTTGAGACTGTTAAGAGAAGCAGAGACATGGAATGGCTGACCCCACACCAACATGTGACCATTAGAAATCACGAGGGATATCTCAGCTGCAGAGGTACCCACTGGAGGAGCAGCAGTCCCAGCCCATACCAGGCTCCACAGCCCAGGGTTCCAGTGCTGGGGAGAGAAGTCCCCATAACTTCTGGCTGTGAAACCAGAGAAGACTGTAGTTGAATGAGACAGGGGTGGCTGAAGTCCCAGGCACTCTTAAAAAGACTGTACATGGATTTAATCACTCATTCACTCTGAGCTCCAGCACTGGGGCAGTGGCTTGAGAACTGCCAGGGACATACAGGGAGGAACTAAATTGTCTGGCTTCAGGATGAGGGCTGGAAGGTCAGCTATGGGAAGACAGAGAAGTTGGTGGAAGACATTGGTTCTTTGTTGACCGCTCCCCAGTCCCTGCAAGCAGATGCAGGCAGACACCATATCTGAGTCTCCATCAAATTGGCTATTACCTGTCATCTGCCCCACCCTAGTGATTCCCAGAGACCCCTACCCACCCAACTTTTGGGCATACCCAAGCCGCTTCAGTGGCTTCTCAGTACAAAAACAAAACAAACTGTCTCAGCTCACGCTGCAGACCTTTATAAAATCTCTATAAAAGGTTCACAAAACCCAAATGAGCAGCATCTGGCTTTGGAATATCCCATAAATCTGGCTGAGTAGCACTAACCCAGGCACTAGTGACGGCCAGCCTCAGTTCACAGATTGGCATCTTGAGACCCTCTAACCCCAGTGCAGGTGGTGGCCATCTGCAGAGTGCTTTGTGGCTCATATCAGGTGGCCCGGGGCATAGCACAGGCTGCAGCTAAGCTTGGTCTACAGCAGGTCCCCTCTCAGGAGGCCCCAGCACTGGCAGACCTGGTGCCCAGCTTGAGACCAAGTCAGAGCAGCAACCAGCTGTCACCAGAAACAACACACTCAAAGGGCAGACTAGGCAGGCACCAGAGCCCCACGAGAGCTAACCCTACTCTGTAGAGCCAGCCCTTGCATCACAGTGCCTCCACCGTATTCAAGGCCAGTACTCACAACCAAGCAGCCTGAGGGTCCATCCCTCCATTGACATGCATATAGCAATCAAGGCTCAACTACAACAGGAGAGCAAACACAACCCATATAAGGAATACACGTGGAGCACCCAGTTCTTGTGACCAGAGAGACTACACCACTGGGTCCCACAGGACACCTCCTACAGAAGGCCACCCTACTAAGACAAGGAGGCACAGCAGCCCTACCTAATATATAGAAACAAACACAGAGAGGCAGCAAATATGGGGAACCAAAGAAACGTGTCCTAAATAAAAGAATAGAGCAAAGCTCCAGAAAAAGAACTAAACAAAAGGGACACAAGCAACCTACCAGAAGCAGAGTTCAAAACACTGCTTATAAGGATGCTCAATGACCTCAGGGAGAACTTCAAAAATGGAGATAGAAAACATAAAAAAGAATCAGTCAGAATGAAGAAAACAATAACTTGAATTAATACATTAGAGGAAATCAAAAGTAGATTAGATGAAGAAAATAATCTAATCAGCAATTCAGAAGATAAGGTAACAAAAAACATCCAATCAGAACAGAAAAAAAGAATCCAAAAAAGTGAGGAGAGTCTGGGGTGCCTCTGGGACAACATCAAGTTTACCTACATTAGCATTACAGGGGTAACAGAAGGAGAAGAGAGAAACCATGGAAATAAAAACCTATTTGAATAATGGTGGAAAACTTCCCTACCTGATGAAGGAAATAGATATACAGGCTAGGAAGCACAGAGAGTCCCAAACAAGATGAACCCAAGGAGGCCCGCACCAAGACACATCATAATTAAAATGCCAAAGGTTAAAGACAATGAAAGTATTTTAAAAGCAGCAAAATAAAAGCAGTTAGTTACCTACAAGGGAGCTTCCATAAGACTGTCAGCTGATTTCTCAACAGAAATTTTGCAGGCCAAAAGAGGATTGGCAGGAAATATTCGAAGTGATGAAAAGCAAGGGCCTACAAGCATGATTACTCTACCTGGGAAGTACTAGAATTTAGAGGGTAAAGGGGGTCAAATATATGGTGAAGGAAGGAGAATTGACTCTGAGTGGTGAACACATAATACAATATGTAGATGATGTACTATAGAATTGTACACTTAAAACCTATGTAGTTTTGTTGACCAATGTCACCTCAATAATTTTAATTTTAAAAAAACAGAAAGAAACTCATAGATACAGAGAACATTTTGATGGTTGCCACATGGGAGGAGGTTTGGAGGTGAGTAAAAGGGGAAAGGGATTAAGAAGTACAAATTGGTTGTTACACAGTAGTCACGGGGATGTAGGTATAGCAAAAGGAATATAATCAATCATATTGTAATAATTATGTCTGGTGTCAGATGGGTACTAGATTTATTGGGGTGATAGATGGGAGGGGGTTGGGGGCAGGGTGAAAAAGGTGAAGGGATTAAGAAATATTAATACAAATTGGTAGTTACAAAATAGTCATAGGGATGTAAAGTAAAACCTAGAGAATATAGTCAATAATATGGTAATAATTATTATGAACAGTGCCAGGTGGGTACTAGACTAGTCAGCATGATCACGTTTTAAATTATATAAATGTCTAACCACTATGCTGTATATCTACAATTAATATAAAATACTACTACTGTCAAAATAAATACAATGTAATATATATTGCTTCATAAAATACAAGAAACTTAGTTCTATCCTTCATCGTTTTTGCATATACTTCTACATGTATGGATCCAAAGTTAATAAGACATAAAGAAAACGCATTTCTTATCCATTCAACACACTTTTACTAGGTGTTTACCATGTCCCAAGAAATATGCTAGATCTGGGCTATAACCATGAATAAGATGTGGTTTGAATTCAATGCATATGAACACGTGTATTTTAAGTAAGACATACATTACACAGTCATCATTCTCAATTTCTTTTTCCCAGTATCATTTGGACCACCTAGGACACTGTTTGATATAGTATTACTAAAAATTATATGCTGCCATGCCATGTTTTCTAAAAACTCCTAGTTGTTATGATTTTCCCAATCTCCTTGATATATCTATATATCACACTCTTTCCAAATTGAAAAGAAAATTAATTTCCTTATCTCTCTGCTCTAGGGAGAATGCTACATAATTTTTAAACATTTTATGCCTCCTTCCTCATGTGGAAAAAAAAAGATGTAGTAAAAAAAGCATTGATTTTCAAGCATGAATGACGGGTACTAATCCTGACAGACACCTATTGTGAACCACTGACAAAAGTATGCTGGTTCCCTGCTTCTAGGTTCTCTCATCTGCTAAAAGGTAGTAACAAAGTCAAACATTGTCTTTATAAGGAATGACTGCATATAATAAATCTAGGACTATTGTAGTCCCTCATATATGGGTACAGTAGACACAAAATTAACATGAACTCTTCTCCCCTTTCTGTTATTTCTCCACAATTTTAGCCCTTTCATTTCACCAAAAGTATTCATTGCTCATTACAGGAGCTTAAATAACATTACAACGTCCATGTTTCAATTAGAAGAGTATATCATTTAATGTAGGAAAAGCATACTCTATGTAGAGGTAGTCTTCATCTGGTGAAATAAATAGCAATTCATAATTTTTCATGGATTTGACTCATGATGAACTAAAACCAAAGGTATTATTTATGTAATCATATTTTAGTTTCTTCATACCAAATTTGTTATTTTGGTACAAGTAAATGCAAGTTCATTTAACAGATGTTCTGAGGAAAACTAGATTGAACACATTTGGCACAAGAAACTTATGAGATGATTGTGGAGATCTTACAATCATACCTTTATCAAATCAGTAAAGTTAATAAAGTACTTTAAGGCTATGTCTATTCTATTTATTCAACAATGCATTCAATATACATTTTGCACTGAGTTGACAACACAAAAAAGAAGAAAAAGGATATAATTCCTGTCCTTAGGGCATTTATGATGTCCTAAGAGAAAAGTCACAGATAAAAGAAATTATATATTAATATTATCAGGAAAAAAACAAATAGAGACTTCCAAAATAATAGAATACAAACCGAGTCTGTAATTGTTGGAAAAATGAAGAACAGAGGAATGATGAAAGTCAAATCAGATTATCAAAGGGCAAGCTTTCTAGGGTAAGTTCATTTTGAAGAAGTGGGAAACTCTTGGGTTATCTCTAGTCCATCTCCATCCCATTTGCTTAATCTTATGAGGGAAAAAAATGCGTGACAAAGAAAGGCTGTGCTGATATTGAAATTATAAATTTTCCTGTTCATCACTGCTTTCAAAATTGGTTAAGTTTAATTGGTTTTTCTCTTCCCAAATCAAAAGATTCTCATCCTCAAAAACATAAAATATTTTTAATACATTTCTGTTGTTAATACTTAAGGATGTCTCAACTTGGCAGAATAGGCAGGCTTGACCATGCATTTCAAAGGAGAAATCATAGTTGATATATTCTCTTATTACTTGATTGAGATTTGTCCTTGAGTTCTGGAATCTGTTGTTTAATAAGTTGTTATTCTCATCAACTACTTCAATGATTTCATTTGTTTCATTGCTGGAGTCTTGTTTATTTGAGCTCACATAATCCACAACTAACAATGATTTGTGCAAGAAATTCATACAAAACCTTTTCATTAAATATAGCTGAAATTTCTTTAAATTATTTTCTTCCTCTGAGTCCCAGAAGTTAACTTTTTTAAATTTTCTTCTTTTACCTATCAAGTCAAATGTTTTATTGAAATAAAGTTGATCGAATGTATTGCTGATGGAATTATCAATAAATGCTTTATTGTTCTCATCTCTGAACATAGTTTTGTTTGACTGTAATAAATATGGGTGAATTTTCATCCATAAATGAAGGCCCAAGAAATTTTCAATATCAGAGTCTTTGCAATATGCATATCCTCGGTCTTCCTCATTTATAGGTTGGATAATAGTTGTTAGTATTGGGCAATGTTGACCACAAATAGCATAGAGTTTATCCAAAGAGTCACCTTCCTGAAGTGCACCATGAATATTATTTCCAGGCAATGGTTGGTTTTTAATAGTATCATCAGAGACAGGATGGATTTTGTTGGCAGCAGTTGTAAAGACATGAGTGACAGATGTGCATACTCTTTCTAACCTATGATTACCTTTCTCCTCTGCATGGTGATTTGGTATTTTCTCCTTGGCACATGTTTCATTTTGAACATCTAGCAAATCCTCTTGAAAAGGCTCAGAGTCACTACAATGAGGCATGTTAAAATAACTGCATTTCAGTTCAAGGGGTTGAGTCAGTTCCTCCAATTCTGAAGAGGATAGATCAGCCATGTTTGGGCTTGGGGCCAAATTTCCAAGATGGGAATATAGTACCTCATTGCTGTTATCATCAAGTAGAGTATCCAGTGATGCAGTGTCTGCATTGCCACATATGCCAGAATTTTCAGGAGATGAGACTCTTAGCAAATGATTTTCTTTCAGGAGCCACTTGCCTTTGTCAATCAGTACACCTTCCTCTGTGTCCCTGAAGATTCTGTTATGATCATTTTGTTTTGAACTATGTTCTAAAATGTCTCCCCCATGAAAATTGGCCCTCATGCCACTAAAGTCACATTTATCTTGTCTTTCCTCCTGAAATTTCTGCAACATAGATGAACCACTAGATACCTGTTCAGAAGAGCCACATGATTGACCTTCAGAATCATAAAGACCTACATTTCTAGCACACTGAGCTTCCATAGAATTATAAGGACAAAACTGAGATCTGTGTATAGACCCAGGGAAATAAGATGGCTTAACAATCTCCACTTTACCATAAAGTTTTTCTATTGCCCTTTCAACAAATCCTTTATTGCATTCTTTCTCTTGGGCAAGCTCCTCATCACCATCTTTGTGGCCATCGCTGGATGTCTTATATGGCTGATCATTATCACTGTCTTGTCTATAGTCTGACCAATCAGAAGTCACTGGTCTTCTGAAGTTTTTAAAATCAAGAGGGGACTCTGAACAACTCCCAATTTCCATGCTTTTCACCATCATTTTCACTCTCATTTTAGTTTCTTCTTCATTGAGCTCCTTTTCAGTGTTTTGCTTAGAACCATAGCAAAACAGTAAAGGTGATGGTGCTGCCAACCTCCCACTGATTGTCTCACAAATTACACTATTCTTCCTTTCTTCTTCTGTCATGTTCCTGCTAGAGATTTCTATAAAGCCCAAATTTTTACTAGCCTCTAAATCTTTTTGGATCAATTCTTTAGTGACTTGCTTTCCTGTATTTACCTTTGTATTAAAGAAATCAATGTCTTGCTTTTCTAATTCTTCAAACGATTCCAACTCTGAAATGGTTTTTTCACTTGATGTCATACTGTTGGTTACTGAGCCTGGTTCTTCAGAAGTCTTTGATTCTTCCTTATCAAAGGATGTATATGCATTTTTTGCCTGAAATTTCTTTAATGAACAATTTTCAAATTCATCTAGAAAACTGTGTTCCTTATCAAATTCTGTTTGAGTTGCATTTTGGAAAAAGCCATTGTGGCTTAAATTGCTATTTTGGTGTGACAGCAATATATTCAAGTCATGTTTACACTCAAGGTCTGCCAAAATATGTAGGTCTTTCTGAACTTTATCAACTCTTTCTAAATCTTCAGTCAATTCCATATTATCAGTATATGTGTTTTCACTAGAATTTAAAAAGTCATTGGTATTGCAGTCTTTGACGGGAATGTAGGCCTCGTCAACTGGGCAAGCTGTCTCATAGGTATGGCTTTCCTCATGAGCACAAGTCTTATAGGAAGACACAGCATCAGTAAGTGAACAGGCCTCTCCTAGGAAACAAGCCTTATTCATAGAGGTCTGATCAATGGTACAGCCATCACTAGGGGAAAAAATGCCACTGAGGTTCCAAGTCTCGTTTGAAGGATAAATCTTACTCACAGTGCACATTTCACATGGAGAGCAAGTCATCTCTGAAAAATAGACTTCAGGAGCACAGTCCTCACTGGCAAAGTAGCCTCCACCTAAAGAGAAGATTTTCTGTGTTTTTTCATTTTCATTACACTTAAGAACTCTCTGAATGTTGAGAGTGGAACAATCTGCAGAGAGACCTATAGGAACCATGTCTTGTTCTCTCTCAGTGAGTCCAAAGGGATTTGTAGTTGACTCCACTAAATGGGCAACAGCAGCCTTCAAGTCATCAGCTTCCTCTGTAATAGCAATATGCCTTAGAACCTCCAACAATGCAAGTATTTCTGAAGTTCTCTTGGTAGTCTTGTGAGCATCACCTTGACAGAAGCTATTCATACTTTCCTTTAGGTTTAACACCAGGAGCCAAGCTAGAAGGACATTAGTGGAGGAATTACATATTTGGGAAGGGAAGGGAACATCTACAAGTGAACCTGGCATTTGAACACCACCATTCTGAGTCTTGTGAATACTGGGAACTAAAGCTTGCAGTTGGCGAAGCAATAGAACTGGTAACAGATCTTTTGGAGTGGCCTCTTCCATTGGATCTACTTGAATGGCAGCATCTACACTTTGCCCTTTTGTAGCTACGTTTATTTCTGGGTAAACAAGACTTACCTCTGGTCCTAACTTTTCAACAGATACCTGACTTTTAGTATTATGATTATCAATAGCTGACTGTGACAAAGTACAACATTCATGCAGGGAAAGCAAGTAAGCATCACTCTGAGATTCAGCCTGGCTCTTGTAGAGATCTCTATTAAGTTCTTCAATGTTGTTTTTGTCAAAAGATTTACCTACCTCTTTACCTAGATTATCTCCTATCAAACTGGCATTTTTAGTTATGTGCTTATTACTTTCCATGACAAAATTATTTCCTTTTTCAGAACTTGCGTGGGAATTATTTCCTGGAAAACCATTGTTACAACTTACCACATTCCTTTCCTTTTTGCATATTGGAACTGATTTTCTAGGATGCAAAGTTGAATGTGGATTTATGTTCTGCAACCATCTCTGTATATAATTTTGAACTGAATGATGGGTAATATCCTCAGGAAAAATGGCTTTTTTCAAAGAAGGCAAGGAATTTGCCCTGGTTGTAACATGTTGTTTACTTACAATAGTACCTGATTTCAACTTACCCGCTTTTTGTTTTTTCTGGCTTTTTAAAGTTATGTGTGAATTATTAACTTTTGAAACTAAACTCTTCTTTGTCATTCCTCTCAAATACCAACATGCTATTTCTGCTTGAGCCTGTGATCCACAAAAAGCACCGGGTTTTTGCTCAAGAAAGTTAAGCACATGAAATAAATTTTTATTTTCAGAAGTATTTTTGCAATATCTGAATTCATTATGGGGAAATACTTTATCTCCTTGACCAAATTCTCTTTTTGTAGGTCCTCCTAAGCTTACTTTGTTTAGTGATCTGGATTTCCTTTTAGTTAAAAGTCCTTGAACCTTAGGATTTTGCATATTTGTTGAATTCACAGAATTGAGATTACTTTTGGAACAAAAATAATTTGCTTCAATTACCAAATCATTTGCATGGAGATCTTCCTCACAAAGTAACCCTCCTTTAATGGGACTGTGTGAATCTTGCAATATGGTTTTCTGTGCTATTCTACCTCTTGTGTTTATTCTCTTAATCTTATGGGAGATTCCTTTAGTTGCAATATCCCCATCCTGATGACTATAATTTATCACTTGCTGCTGAGATTTCATCTTCTTTTTGCTGGCAGATGATGAAATCTGCTTTTCATTTTCTGGAAATTTTGTTAAACTACATTGAGCAAATTCATTTATTCGTCTGTCAATTCTTGTGGTGAGAGTAGAGGATCCTACTGAAGCTGGGGTCTCAGAAATAGTTTTGCCAGTTCCAGAGTTGTGACTTGAAGAATGAATTGCATCTGCTAAACTAGGACAGAACCTATCATTAGTATTACTATAAGTTCTTAAGTTCTTGATACTAGTTTTGTTTTCTGGTGTTACACTATCAACTATACCATCCTCCACAATTAAGTTTTCTAATATAGTATGTGGCAAGGCATTATTATGGGACATGTCTAACATCTTCTGATTTGTAATTTCTACAACACCAGCACTTATTGCATTTGACTTGAGTTGTCTGCTTTCCTTTTTTCTTTCTAAAGATAACTCCATCTGTTCATTGTTATCTCTCTGAACAAGTACTGGTTTGTTAGATACTGATGACATTTTACTGCAAGAATGTGTAAACATGTGATACTCAGATTTGTTTTCCCCATCTTTCCTTTCTTCATTATAGGAAAACTGTCCAATCATTTTCTCTTGAACTTCAGTTTCAGATACTAAGGTCACACTCCCTATCACAGATTTCTTTTGTCTTACTCTCTTTGGTCCAGGTGTAGGGGGCCTGTAAAAATGATGCTTCACTTGATCCTGAGTTCCATGGATAGCATTTGTGTCCATAGCAGCATTCTCCCACCTAGAAGAACTGCAAGTTTCAGCCTCTTGATCTGTCATTTTAGTGTTTATCTCCTCTGCCAAACTGCCCTCTTGAATATTGCCTTTCTCCAGAGGTACGACATCTGCAGACAATGAACATGCTGCAATCTTTAAACCAGATGACAGGCCATCTGTTCTTCCTGGAAAACTGCTGAGCTCACTCTTTTCATCATTATTAGAAAGACCAGCTCTACTGACACTGGTTGTCCATTTTACTGTTTCCTCTTCTTTTATCTTGAATCGAACTTTCATCTCAACTGTCATGGTGCCATCTTGATTAAAAATAATTGATTTCTCAATATCATCTTTGGAAGGATATATCAATAAATTCTGAGAATCCTTTTTTTCTAAGGCCAAGTCATTTTCAGGAGCAAAAGAATGGTCTGAGTGGCAATCATTATTATGCATTTTGTCAGATGAAGCAGAATAAATCTGGGACCTTGGGCTCGAAGGCACATGTGCACTCACTTTCAAGATTTTAAGAGTAAAAGATGACCCACATCAAAATATAATGTGAAAGATAAAGAAGTTTTATATACATATATCCAATAGAAGAGGCAGCAAAAAAGGAAGAAAAGAAAAAAGTAAATAATTAGCATGAAAAATACCTTATTTTCTAAATTTCATGCCTCTATGTATTCATTGGTTAGTTGAGTTCACTGTAATATCTGATACATCTTTACAAACTATTCTTTAAAAAGGAACTTATAATTCTACTTCAATGAGATTCATAGAATTTTAATTTTGAGTTTCATAAGGCAATTTTAATAAGGAAAGTATAAAGCAGAAATTGCTAAGAATTCTAGTAAAACTAGATTTTTGTGGTGTTTAGTTTTGTTCTTTTATTTTGTTTACCAGTACTAAAATTGGAGTCTAACCAAGTGCTGCTCACCTATTTGAGAAAGCAAGTAATAATTATGGTGGTATATATTTTCCCATCTGTGCATATCCAAGAGAGGCATTTATAGCATTACAAAAGCTAAAACATTTTTATAATTTATTTAAAATGCTATACTGATCAAATAAAATTATTAATTTAGCATTAATTTGTATAATCAGTGCACTTGATTTAATATAGGGCACAAAAGAGAACAGAGCTAGACATAAGACCCAGATATCTAGTTGTCTTTATAATGTGTGTCTCTAGAGATAATTTTGGCACTCATGCTTCTTACACTCAATCTAATTCCTATTAGTGATTTGTACAGATTTTGGCATGCTTGCCATCAATTAAATACTTTTAATTTTTTAAAATATAAACCTAGAAATATTTTCTATTAAGCTCTGTACTTTTACCAACACTATAAATAAAAATGTCTCACTCATAATTTTTTAAAATAAAACTAAAGGAAGCCCTCAGATTCCCTGCAGCTATCAAAAATCATACTCAGCAACCCATATCAAACACAAAATAATAAAATTATTTTAGTACAATGACTAAGGTAAAATAATACTAACATATGCATAAGATATTCAGTAGCTAATGCCTTTGAAATAGAAACATTAACAATTATCTATTGAGTATATCCAAACAACTATATGACAAAATAAATAATAGATGAATTTCACCCACTTTAGTAATAAGTAGAGGAGTTATACTACTTAAAGTGCATATTAATCCATGTCTAGATAAAATAAAAACTAAAATTTAAGTATAAATGGCAATCAACACTTTAGCATAGAGCTAAAATACTGTGCACAATGAATCATTAGATTTTCCATGCCTGCATAGGGAATTTACAGCCTATCCCAAACTTGCAGGCATCAAGATGCCTTCCTCCTCCCCTATCCAAAAGATAATGCCACATTGTGCAGCATTGCTTAAGAAATTATCAACATAGATTATTGTTAATGAGCATGAATTGGCTACATGAACCTTTTCTTTAAAAAAATGAAAACTAGATCTAAGGGCCTGTGGTTTTTACTAGAATAACTTCAGTAAGTAGAGCATATATGTAGCTAGAAATTTTTAAAAATATAGTCACTCAACTAACCTACTGAGCTCAGCTATAATGCTGCATGGTGATATTTAGACAAAACTCTGCAACTACCAGAGTTGCCACTTACATATTCCATAGAATTCCTCTCCAAATCAAGAAATGATGTTTTATCTTGGTATTATATGAAAAACAAACAAACAAAAACAAACAAAAAAAACCATACCTTATCAATTCAATTCAAACAGATGTCAGTAATTGATTTGGAAATATCTAAAAAAAATTGAGATAATCTCTGTGATTCTTTCCAACTATAAATGTAACCAATTTCAATTTAGAATGCTTTGATCCCTTTCTTTTCTTTTCTGTGATAAAGAAAATAGGTCATTTAAGCATGGATTTTTTTGTTGTTGAAAAAAAAAAATCTCAGAGCTAAATATAAAGGCCATATATTTAAGTGACTTACTCTTTCTGTTTTCTGACATAGTATTTCCCTGAGGGTACACACGATGAGAGATCCCTGGTAATCTAGCAGGAAGCAAGTATTTTGGGGTGTCATAATTTCCTGGTTTAAATGGTTCCCTTCCTGCTGCCACCACAGCTCCAGAGCTCAGAAGCACAGCCTGGAGACTGGGAACCTAGGAAAAAAACAAAGAGTTATGATCCTTATATAAGCAACATTAAGTTTTGTTCTTTCCATATAGTAATGTTTTAACTGATTGAATCAATTCAATAACCTCCTGGGCTAGAAAGAGATAACCACCAAGCATTTGTTTAGGCATCTACGGTGTACACAAAATAACGAAATACCAAAGTGTGCGGGGGTCAGGGTTAGACCAACACCCGGGTCTTTTGTCAAACTAAAGAAATCTTTAAAAGGTACAGGTACTATTTCTGCCTTCCCCACCAAAGTATCCAGCTCTAGCCAAATGTCTACCCTGAGCCAGCTGACAAAGTGCCTGGTGGACACGCCAGGACCAGGAAGGTGAGCTCTTGTGGACACACTGGCAGCTGCAGGGGAAACTCCCCTGCCACCCTCAGCGAGGATCCCAGGAACATGGTTTCTCTAGCTAACAGAATTGCACTCTTGGCTACTCCTTTTCAAGAAATATTGTTGGGCTCAGAATCTCTTGCAAACGTATTACATAACTAGGTGCTGAGGGAAGGCAGAAGGGGGTGGGAGGAGCGTAGGAGGAAAAAGGAGCTCCTCGTGGCCAATGCCTCATCAGATTCTGACTTCAGAACAAAGGGACCATCCACCCAGGTGAGCCAGCGACCTCCTCCGAGGGTGTAACACAGGCACACACAGGCATGTGCGCGCAAAGCCTTCCCTCTCCAGCGCCGCTGTCCCTCGGGACCGGAGCTCAGCCCTGAGGCGCTTCCAGAACGCTCACCTTCCTTCCGTCTGTGGCGTACAGCTTGGTCACGCGGCACTGCATGACCTCTGTCACGTGCTGCAGAAAGGCCTCAAAAGTCTGGGTGACCCTCTTGCTCAGAAGGACCACGCGCTTTGCCTTCGGATTACCATTCTTGAAAACCACAAGTCGCCGCGAGGCGTGCAGCATGCCGGGAACAGGCGCGGCGGGGAGGTGGTGCGCATGCGTGCTGATGGCCCCGCTGCTGCGCCAGGGCGGTGGGCGCCAGCGGGCCTTAACCAGATCCACCGGCTGCATCTTCCTGCTATGGGAGCACAGGTACGACTCGCCGTCCTCCAGCTCCTCTAGGCGCGTGATGCTGTGCCTTCCCCGAGGGGTGCTGATATTCCTCACCCCGAAGGGTAGAGAAACCTTCCTTGACAAGTTATCAAGCAAAGCATCAAATGTCTTAAAGGAACGAGGATTGACTACCACTCTGACCCCGCCAAACTGCGGATCTCCACTCTTGTAGAAACTGATCCTTTTGGCCACAACAGGATGTGTGATGCCTGTGTGACGAGGGGAAGGAAATTGACATTTGGAAGAAGTTGGATGAATCATGGAAAAACTGGTTTCGCTCATTTTGGACGAGACCTAGAAAGGGAAGAATATTATTCATCTCCAAAATAACAATACCATAAAGAATACATGATAATGCTAATGCAAGGCTATTCCTAGGATTTCATTCATTCATTTATTCATTCATTATATCTGCCTATTTTGAAAGAAAAATTTTAGAATCTGACAATAAAAAGACATAAATGAAAAGTTAAATAAGGTATTTCTAATTTAAAGATAAAACAACCTAAAGACACTAATAAGTGACTAGGTAGGTAAATTACGATACATACACCCATGCAATGGAAAACAATGAAACCATTAAACACGGCCTTATAGATCTGTACTTACTAACATAGAAAAATGACCATGACCTATCACTAAGTGAAAAAGCAGTTTGTAAAATCCAAATGCTATGCCATTGCCAGTGTATTCAATTAGCCTTCTGTATCCATGGATTCAATCTAGTACAAATAGAAAATATTCAGAAAAAAAATTACAGGTACTATGTAGTTAGACCTACAATGGCTGCATCTAGAATGAACATGTACAGACTTTTATCCTTGTCATTATTCTGTAAATAATACAGTATAGTAACAACAATTTATATAGCATTTACATTGTATTAGGTACAATCACCTAGAGATTATTTAAAGTATATGGGAGGATGTGCATAGATTTTGTGCAAATACTATGACATTTAACATACGGGACTTGTACATCCACAGAATTTTCATGTCTGTGGGGTTCCTGGAACCAGTACCCTCATGGATACTGAGGTCCAACTTGTACATATGTATTATACTAGCAGAAAAAGTCCAAAAGTATATACAGCCCAGTGTTTATGGTGGTTTTCTCTGGATGGCGGAGCTATGGATAATAATTGTGCTTTTTTAAAATTGCTAAATATTATGAATCTTTAAAATTAATAGGTACTATTAAATAATTAAAAAATAATACAAGACAAATCAGAAACCATCCAATGAGAAAAGAGAATTTTGCAACCAGTTCTGCATGTCCTGACAGCCAAGGAAAAGGAGGGAAATAAGAAAAGTTTATAAAGTTCAAATTGTCTGTTGGATGGAACCAAATGAGTTCAGCTGGAGGAAACTGTTTCCTGACATTAAATTCTAGAAGGAATGTATTTCGTAGATCCTTAAATAATGGCCATATTAAGATCGTGTAAGATGTTTCCATTACAGATTTTAGAGAATGCAGGTGAATTACTTAACACACTACTAATATTACTTTGGCAAACCGCACTAAAATATTTTTTGAATCAATGACAGCATTGTTACGGGCTGCTAAAAATGATGCCATCTGAGTACTGCTCCCACTAGTGGTTCTAAAATGAAATTGTCACGAGACAATTTCAGAGCCATTTTCAGCCAATCACTGACGTTTTTCTCTTCCACTTCCCAATAAAGCCAGTCTGACTGACAAGTAATCATCTTATGGAAGGGCCTATCTCGTTCTGGGCTTGTTTTTCATTTGTAACATATTATGGCTATTTTTTATTGTTTTAAATCAATGTAATTATTAATGTCTTTTGACACAGTAAGAATGCCCTGCAGCCTTGAAGACAAATTGAACTAAATAAACGTGATTAGTATTATACAGGTGAAAAAGGCATGTTTGTCATTATAAATTAGCTATAAGTCTGGCCCAAATCACCTATCTAAATGTTTACACACTGTTATCTGAGATTCTTTATATATCTCCAATATAATTTCTAAATTGTACTTATATGTAACTTAGGAAAATGAATTCAAAGATCAGCCTGGAAATTAAATTTGTCTCTCCTTCTCCCTCCCCAAGGGATTTAAAGTAATTATACTACTTAAGACAATAAAGGCAACTGTAGCAAGTGTGCACATCAGGAGCTGGGGAATCCAGCTTTGCAATAGAATCAGGAAAACAGCAACTTGAAGGAAAACTGTGGTCTGACCTTGGGCATGCTGCTTAATCTCTGTGCCCTCACCAACTATAAGATAGATTAATTCCTTCAGCATTTAAATGAAAGACTTCTGAATTCTTTGCCTCCAAATATTTTTTAGGTTGGTTTACTTACACATTTGTTTGAAAATATTTTACATGAATAGTGTTTGAGATACATTTTTCACTTAATTTTGTAAAATTATCTCTATATGTAAGTGCATACCGAAGCTTTTAATTTCAATAGTTTTCTGTCTGGATCTCATTATTTGCAGAGCTGTTAACCTGGTGATCATGTTGGGAACACAGTTATATAAGCTGATAGGCTAAGAGTTTGGGTTTATTTGCTTGGGGGCGGAGGAGCGGAATGGTGGTGACTAAAATAGAATAAGGAGATTTTGTGCTGGGACTAGGAAGGAGCACATGGAAGCTAGGATAATTGGAAGGAAGAGGTGACCCCCATTATCCCTATCCCACTGCTGCCCAGCGCTGAGCAATGGTTTTGAGCCTGATGCATGAAAGAAAGAAACTGAAAGTACCATGCTCTGGGAAGATGCCAGATGCCCAGCAGTGAAGGAGCATTTGCAGAGAAAGTACCAGCAGCAAGGTGGTTGCCAGCACCTTGATGAGGAGGTAGTAGAAAAAACAATAAAAATACAAATTTGTGTGGTACTCATTGCATGTAACAAGATCTCTTGGAACTCCTAGAAGTCACAGGGGAAGTTTTAGAGAATGCTGAAATTTTTGCATACAAGGAGGTGAGGTTTAAGAGCCTATGTTAAGGTGAGCATTGCGTGTATACCATAGAATATGATGAAGATTCAGTATTGACTCAGTTATGCACCTTTCTTAATCAGCTTTAAAAACTAATCAGAATTTGGATGGAAATTTTTAAATGTTTTTTTTACATACATTTTAAATAATGCTTATTCTATCTCCTCTGAAGTTGGGATAAGGCAGTAATACATTTAGGGGCTATGGAACAAAGTAACCTAAAGCAGTCTAATTCACCAGGAGGTTAGTGTGAAGGAAAAGAAGTGGAGGTGAAAAGAGGTAACAAGAGAAACTGTAGAATCTTAAGGCCTATCAATTGCCTCACTGCTGACTTCCCTAGAAGTAGCAAAGGACCTGCTTAACAAAATCTCTTGCCTGTAACCTAAATTGTAGTGAAATTTGCTTCTAGTGACTTGACAGCTTGCTACCAATATCTTTCACTCTTCTCTGCAATCTCTTCATAGCCTAAAGTCAGACGATGGAACTATCATGAATACTTGTATTGCTTTTTAAGATTAAGTAAACTTTTAACACTCTTTGGTTCCCTAGGTTCAACCATGGTTATGCTTATCAGTGTCATCATTGGTGTCAGTCATCTATGCTGCTCAGAGCTAAGTACAGTAGTTGCCTCTACCAAGAGAGCTGTACCTTCTCTCCACCACTCACTTGACAAAACAGATGACAGGCTTACAAAATGAACATGCATCATTTCACTAATTTTAAATTTAATTTCTTCCATGAAGTAGGAATTCAGGCAATTCAGAAGGAAGAATGATGTAAAAATGAAATAAGAAAAAATATATATTCATAATGTTAGTTCTGTGGCAATTCAGAGATTTAATGTGGCAAGAAAAATTAATTCATTTCACAGATTATAATAACTCTATGCAGTAGGAATGGGGGGGGGGAGTGTTTAGAAACAAATTCAGCAATCATCCCCTATGGTAGTCACAGCATTGTTGAATTAAAAGCAACTTCCTTGTTCTTTAGTGTACTGCATAGATTTTTCTAATCAGTAGTGATTTCATAATCAGAAAAAAACTTTACTTGTATTTAAATACACTAGAATTTCTTGATTTCCTGGCACCAAATTTCCTTCCTACTTCAATATCAGCATGTTGTGAAGGTTTCTGGCATAATAGGGTAAAAAGTAATAATTATTAGCAATATTTCTTCATTTCTGATGGTTAAAGATAGAACACAAATATGTAATCTAGATATAAAATGGAAAATAAAGTACAACTAGCTAAACACAGAGTATTCTCAAAATAAAGATTTCAAATAATTTTTTACTTACCAGAACTTGAAACTTCCTTATTAAAGAAAAATGTTTTAAGTTGTTTGGATAATTCACATGAAGGTTACTGGATATGTAACATGCTCATTTCATGAGAAGAAACTAATGTCTTTGGATTTATTATTAGCATATCCACTCATGGATTGAGTACAGCCAATTAATGTAATCCAAGGTGATGCTAATCACCAGAGGATTCACCTTAAAGGGAACCATAGGCAGAAACAAACCAGTTCCTAGAATGTCCCACAGTTCTGAAACCTTCCTAATTAGAGTTTCCCTTGCATTATCTTGCTTACCTAGTGTTATTCTCAGGAGAAAACACTTTGCCAATTCATAAACATTTCTCTCCCAGACAACCTTAACTCCTCATTTATTTATGTTAAAGAGAAAAAATTGTTATGCTGCCAAAAATGAAATAGTTTGACATTTTATCATTCTTTGATAAGTAATCCTGAGCCAATATTTGTTCGTGGTAGTCATTAAAAAGAAAAGGTCTTAAGCCTTTTTGTTAATTTAAGCACTCCTTAGTACCTCATCTGTGTAGTTCTAATGAAAATGGCTGGAAGTATAAACAATTTGGCTACTTGGCATAATACAAGACAAATGAGAGAGGAAGCACAAATTGAAGTGAAGTAATTTTATGCTTCTGCATACACCGCACTCTTCTACTGCTTTGCTTAATCATGATGGGATTTGAACATGTTTCAGGACTTTGTCACACGTGAAGTCCCCTTATGACACCTGCTACCTCTGATGGCTCTCTGTCATCTAGTCTGATTTGAAGAAACCTCACCTAATCGGGCTTTTTACTAGGGCTTCCTGCCTGAGCTCTAAACACAAAAACAAAGTAAGGGGTCCTTTAGGAAGAAAGGATCAGGTTCAAACATGTGTTCCCAAGTGTCTCCAAACAGATCACAAAAGGAAACAGATTATGAATTACACACTTTGCCATATAAATGCTGACTTTGTAACAAGTTACCTATTAAAAAGTAAAAAAAGAGGACGAAAGGAAGGGAAAGAGGGAGGAAGGAACGGAGATTTGGAGGGAGGAGAGAGAGAGACAATGAAGGAAGGAAGGAAAGATGGAGGGAAGGAAGAAGGAAGAAGGGCGGGATAGACAAGAGAAACAATAGTGTTTAACTTTGATACAAACCTCCATTTACAATCATCAGTATCTACATAAACACAAGGCTATTTAATCAATAAAGAAATTTATGTTTACCGGGTAACAGTAGGCATGAATGACATCATTACCAGCTCCAAATCGAAGTGCAAATTTTAAAAGTTTGGAGACTAGTGTGGCTAGAGTGGCTGGGCACCAAATTATGTAGGGCCTTGTATCCCTTGGTAAAGACTTTGACTTCAAGTGAGTTGAGAAACCCAAGGAGGGTTTTGAGAAGAAGAGTAATGAATTGATTAATGAAACTGTCTGAGGTGACTGTCATTTTTGGAATTCTGGAGTCTATGTGAATGCTGCAGCTTCCAGGGGAAGGTTTGGCTGGTAAATTG